TAGTTCAAAATCAAAAAGATAAGTGAGAAACTCAGTTGTTGCAAATGTGAAAAATCAGGGCATAAAGCAAGGACATGTAGAGGAGAGATTGGTAATAATAGTAAGTTGAATGTAAATAAGGGATTGTCAGGTCAAGAAGAAGAAATGTGTCAAAGTTATCTATAAGTGTTTTGGTTTATTGATTTATATTCATTAATGATAATAATAGAGAAAATATACTAACTTATTTTCATTATTTCCATTTTACATAGGTGAAGAAAGCTATTAGGACTACTAACCAAAAGGCTAAGGATCCTACACTTAAAAGGTAATATATGATACAAATGTTTAAGATCATTTAATCTAAACACTTACCCTTTTAATGTATTTTAGGGTGTTCAGCCATATCCAACCACATTTGAAAGATTTGGAGAGTGACTTCAACCACCTTAAACCACAACTAGAAGATCTGGAAAGCCACCTCAAAACATAATTTAAAGATTTAGAAAACCACCTTAGCCATTTCAAACCACAACAACTGGAAGATTTGAAGGGCATGTTCAACTACCTCTAATCACTATTAGATGGATGCTTGATGTAAGTATTTATTTTATTTACTCTAAACTCGTCTTAAAAGAAACCCTTAATCATAAATATTGAATCATTTACTATATCGATGTGTATAGATCTAGTCAAGCTTTTCAATCATAATAGAATTATTTTTTTCAACCAAATGGAGTTTCTAAACTTGTTAGAACTCCTATAAGTACTAAAGCCAGCCAAAAAAGAATGCAAGTGCAATGGAAGTACTTGATTAAGCATGCTGTTAAGAGAAAACTTCTTTCAGCCAATGTTCAACACAACATGAGAGGTACTAAAAGACTAACAAAGCTAAAACCATGTAATGAAAAATCAACAACAACTTGTAGAGGAGTTTTTATTTTGTGTTCATGATTGGGTTAGAGTATTTTATGAACAATTTATTTTTGGTATGTTGGATTAGCAATAAGTTTCTTTTTCATAAGGGTATAAATGTAAGGGTTCTTTTTTTAGATAAAAAATTTTTTTTATTGGTAAGGGTATACATGTAAAGAAGGTATACATGTAAAGAGAATACAAATGTATTGATGTTTAGAATTTGTTTCAGGTCCAACATACTTGTTGGAACTATATTTGACTAGGATTATATAAATGCCTTATAATTATCAATAAAGTCATGTTTTTGGATTTTTTATTGGTTTATTGGTTTTTGATTTATTGGTTTCTTTATTATCAATATAGGATATGTCTTTGGATCGATTATAGTTATCAATACCTTATTTGTTAAAGTTACAAGTTCATTAAAGTCAAATTTAAGGTAAAACAATAGATATGTACAGCAATAGCACTAAGTTCATTTACTACAATAGCATACTAAAATAACCAAATAATCTGAGTTCATTACATAATCTAATCCATTACATAGTATAACTACCACTTGATACAAAAATGATCACTTGATACAAAGATATTCTAAAACCCATCTAGTGGCTACCATCATTCACAAACACCAAATATGAAATACATAACAAACCCATACTCCTTCAATGTCATTGTGCCTAATGCTCCTAAAATATTACCCTAAAACCCATAATGCATAACATTAAACAATAAACAACCTAAAACTATTATATCAAAGCTTAATCAAAGTGAAAATCAAATAACAGGCCAACAACAAAATCCATAATACATGTTCTTCCTTCGTTAGCTTTCAACATTTTCACTTTTCTTAAAGCCTAATAAGCACAATTTTTGCACGATCTCTAATCGATGGATCATACAAATTGAAGAAATGACATCCGTATGAATACATATAATTCTTGCAAACCAAAAGCCTTCTTTTAAGATTGTCATTTGACCAAGAGGTCCTCAACTTTGCTAGTATTCTATAATGACAAAAAAGAATACTCATATTAAGGTTTTCCATTCTTAACTAGAAAAGAAGGAATAAAGAAGAAAAAGCAAAAAAAAAAAAAAAGAATGAATAGAAAAGATTAGGGAAAGAAAATAAGGAAGAGGGGAAACAAATAAAAAAAGAGGTTGTAATTTTGTGTATGACATGAAAAAAAATGGGCCATGTCAGCAAGCATTTCTAATAAGTTAAGATGTGTTAAATAAACATTACTATTTAAAAATATAGTGACCCTAAAAAAACACTTATTCAAATGTTAGTAACTATATTGAAAATTTTAATACTGTAGTGACCATTTTGAAAATACCATAATAGTTTAGTGACAAATTATTTAATTTATCCTAAAATTTTTATTAAATTTTTTTTTATAAAAAAATCTTCACAAATTTCATCTAAAAAACTTCATATAAGTTCTTTTCAAATCATAATAACTAATAACACATAACTAAACTTATAAACTAGGTCAGATTCATAAAAAAATTATTTATTTAGCATATGTTACATATTTTCCTACTTTTCCTGCCAAACTAATCAACAATATAACGAGGTTGAAGGAAAAAATGAAAATGAAAATCTTTTTCAAGCATTTAAAAGAACCCATCAAGGAATTCAAGATTAAGAAAAGAACTTAACTAAAAAATTCCATACAAAAGTCAGAAAATGAAAGCAAAAGTTTAGATATGAAAGAAGCAAACATCTTTCAGAAGAAAATATTTGAAAAAAAGACCCTATCTTTTTCAATCTATTCTTTAAAACTCTAGCATATCTTCCATATTGTCATCTTCTTCATGAGCATTAAAAACTTCAACAGCTAATGGTTTCTCATTTATTTCCCTTTGCTTTTTTTTTACTTCTCCTCATTAACACTTGTTGACGGCCCTATTTCTACTTTATTACCATTCTTCATCTCTCTCTCTCTTTCTCTCTCTCTTTTGTTTCAATGAACAAAGTATACAAAACATAAAAAGGTACAAAATAATAAAATCCTTTTCAAGTTTTTCAAGAAAAAAAGGAAAAAATTTCAAATCAAAAGATTATTTAGATACTTAAAAGGTAGGATAGCTGAGATTAGGAAAGGAAAAAAAAAGGAATTTTTTTTATTTCTTTTAGTTTGCAGTATCAAATTTAGTTCAATCTTTTTTCATATAAAGGATTTAGGTTTGAGTTGATTTATTTATTTCAATTTTAGAATGTTTTTATTTTTTTAGTTAATCAAATATAATTTATAAATTAGGTTTAAGAAAAAAGAAATATTTTTTCTAACCAGGATTTATTTTTAATATGACATAGCACTTTTAATATTTGGAGAATTCTATTTACACCCCACTTCCTACTATATACATCCCACTTCTAAATATACCTCAAATTCAAAACTCAATTTTCTATTTCTACTAAATACACTCACACCCCCTCACTTTTTATTTACCATTAAAACCTTTTCTCTCTTCTTCTCTCTTCACTTTCTAAAATCAAGCTTCTTGAAAATAAATATTTGAGAAGTTTTGAAACTTCTTAGAAATGGATATCTGAAAAGTTTTAAAGATTCTCAAATATCAATTTTCGAGAAGTCTAAAAAATTCTTGGATATTCATATTTGAGAAGACTTAAAAACTTCTCGGATATATCGAAAATAGATATTCATATCGAGAAGCTTTAAGTCTTCTCAAATATTTATTTTTGAAAAACTCGGTTTCACTTTTAATCACTAAAATCCTTAATCATGAACTTATAAACCTATTTACTTGATCATGTGTGCCAATGAAACAAAAATCAATGTTCTCAAGATGCATAGCATAAACTTATTCTTTTTCTTGAGACTCCAAAAAACAGAAAACACCATTTTCTGGTTTTGCATAGGGAAAAAAGTGTTCTTGATTTTTTTGTCTCAAGATAAAAACACTTTGATGCCCATGTATGCTTAAAAACTAACATGTCTCTTCCATTCACATATATGATCAAATAAGAATGAGGACATCGATGAATTATACGTCTGCATATATATTAGTCTAAACTTGAACACCCTATAGAACAATGATTCTAATAATGTCATAGTAGATTGACAAATCCGATAATAAGGACTTCTAATTTTTTGGCCACCAGTATCTTTCGACCACCAATATCTTGGTGGCCTAAAGACTAGAAAATCATTATTGTCGGAATTAAGCTATACCTTGGAAAAAATCATTATAGACGTTTGGAGATTTTAGCACATCAAATTTATTTATTTTAGTATTATTTATTTTAAGATTAAAAGTATTTATTTTATTTAAATTAAAATTAAACGTTATCAAGAGTTTATAATTAAATATATATTTAAATAAAATTTTTTGTATTTTCGAAAATAGATTTTTGAGAATATAAGATGACTCTCGAAAATCTATTTCCAAGAATTATATTTCTTTTTCAGAAATGGAATACTGATAATATAATATAACTATCAAAAATTTATTTTCAAAATTTACGAAGGTGGTTTTGGAATATATAAGCTATTGAGGATAATTTTATCATTTACTAAAGGTCAGAATGATATTTGTTATATTGATATTTTTTGAAAAAAATTTTGATAATGTATAGAAAAAATTTTGTGATATATTTAGAAGGTCCCTTAATATTCATGTCACCATCACAAATTATCTCAACAAATAAAAGCATCGCATCAATAAAATTAAGGTATATATAATTAAGTTAACTGTTATATCAATATTTTTAATGAAAAAATTGACTTTATTTACGATTAATTGAAATAATAAAAAAATTAAATTTGTATACATTATAATAAAAAAATTCAAATTCAAATTTTGGTATAGTTCAAATTTTTGTATAGTATATGAATTTTTCACATAATTTGACTTTAAAAAAAAAAAAGATTAAGGAGTGGATGTAATAATAATAAAATAAAAGTGTAAATAGTAAAAAAAAATTTCAAATTTTGGGTAATACGAAAACTCGAATTCCCTCTAATCAAATAATATAGCAACAAAATCAATCTTGATGATTTTGCAAAAGGTTTTAATTCTTCTTGTTATGCAAGCCAAGCCATAGACTTAGTCCCGTTAAAAAAAGAAAAAAATTGAAAGAATAAAAAGATGAAGAAAAGAAAAATCCCACACAGAATTTTTTGAGAGTCTATGAGTGCCAATAAATATAAATATGAAAAGTGGATGCCTAATTATTATTGGCTTTGGTATCTAAATTTTTTGAGAGTCTATGAGTGCGAATAAATATAAATATGAAAAACTGGATGCCTAATTATTATTGGCTTTGGTATCTAAATTTTCTCTCTGTTTGTTGGTTCCTTCATGAAACTAAAGTTCTGCTACAATTGGATAAATTTGATACTTCTCTCTTCTCCTCCTCCTCTGTTTCTCTTATCCCTCTTTTTTTTTTTTCCTTTTTTCTGTGCTCTGCTTTCTTTCCTTTCTTTCCCGGGAAAGTTGATTCCTTTTTTCATTTTCGGTTAGAAAAGTGGTCTCGATCCAAGTAAAAAGACCCAAAACCATAAAATCTTTTACCCAGAAATCATGGGTTTCTGTTGAAACCAATAAAACTTGAAAATTTTCTGGCTTCTGTCATTAAAAAATTCCCCCCTTTAATTTTTTCTATCGTTTTCTCGAACTTCTTTTGTTTTTATTTCTATGTTGCCGTGAAATTTGGGTGTTTTCAACATAATTTGGCTGGTTTTGCGTAGTGCGTTTTTGGATTTAACTTGAAGAATTAAACGTTGAATGGTCGTGACTTTTTGCAAAGAGAGAACAAAAAATGTTTCTTCATTGTTGATCAAAGAAGAGTAGGCTTGAGTTTTCTTTAAGTTTAAAAGAAAAAACCCAAAAAAAAAAAAAATAGTGTTATTTTCGCTTGTGTTCCATACTTTCACTTTTTGTTTTGGCTGAGAGAGGGTAGCTCAAATCCGCCGGTGCCGGAAAAGAGATGAATTAGACAACATTGTCCTCTACCGACGAAGACTTGGTTGAATAGAGAGATATATTTATTTATTTATTTATTTTCTCTACTTTTTCTGTTTCCTTAAATTTAGCCGTCCAAACGTCAAAATTTAGAATTTCTCTTCAGACACAAATTTGCATCATCTAACCAAATCGCGACAATCTCTCTCTTCCTCTCTCCTTGTGTTCGTCTCTCCCCTTCTCCTTCTCCTCTCTCTTTTTCTCTCTGTTTTTTTCTACTTCCTCTGTTTTCAGGGTTGAGGTAGAGAGAAACCAATCTCTCTCTCTCTCTCTCTCTCTCTCTCTCTCTCTCTCTCTCTCTTGTTGGAATCATGATTTTTGACACAGGGTTAACGCGATCAAACCTCGAGTGCTTTCTCCATTGCACAACACCAACAGCCAAATCCCAATTCCTTCCCAAGGTTAGCGATCTTTTTCTTTTTCTTTATGTAAACAAAATAAAGTTTTCATTATCTTGATTATGGTTTCATACTTTGTGATTATGATTATCACTTATGTTTATATTGCAGAGTGAGATGAGGAACCTTAATCGTTTATGGCACCCTTGGGAGAGAGAAAAGGTCGAATATTTCACATTGGGTGATCTTTGGAATTGTTATGGCGAATGGAGTGCGTATGGGGCTGGAGTTCCCATTGTTTTGAACAACAGCGAAACCTTAGTCCAGTACTATGTTCCTTATCTCTCTGCCGTTCAAATCTTTACCAGCAATTCTTCAATCAACGGCTTAAGGTAAATCTTTTTTTTTTCTTAATAAATATTTTGGCAGTTGAAATTTAGTTTTATCACATGAAGTTCATGGCAATCATTGAATTTTTTAAGTTGCTTCCCACTGGAAGTATGCAATTGAATGGTTTAATACCTTGATCGAGGTTATGCAATTAGATTGAGCGATTATAAAATTCTGCGGATCTGTGAATAAATTCATTGCAAGCAAATGTGATAAAATTTTGGGCTTGGAATTTTTATAGGGAAGAAACAGAATCAGGTGATGGCGAGAGGGAGTCATTTAGTGATTCATACAGTGATGAGAGCGAGAGTGACAAGTTATGGAGATGGGATGGATGCTCCTCGGAGGACGGAGGGTCCGATCAAGATAGCCTTTGGCATGTGAATAACAGGTTGGGTTACCTTTACTTTCAGTATTTCGAGAGATCAACTCCTTATGGAAGAGTCCCGCTCATGGATAAGGTACTTTTTTCTTACTCTTGTTCTTTATGTTCTTAGCCTTACTTATACTACTTATCTTTTTTATTTTTTATTTTACACTGATTACTTTGATTTGCATTTTATCTGCCTTCTGGCTTTTCCTCAATGGAACTGATTAGACCTTGAAAAGAATAGTCGTGGATTTGTCAGAATATAAGCATCTTATAAAAGATAAAATAAACTTTTGACCTCTGAATATGAAAAATTCTTCGCCTTTGTTTCTCTGCATATATTTTTTTCTCTTGTCCATGATCTCACTGTCTTCCTTTTCTTCAAGGATATTTATCAATTTATCATCCTTACCTGAGAGCATAAGTTGTTGTTTTTCATCTGAAATTGTCTTTTAACTTTAACTGTTGTCCCAAAGAAGAATAATTGATACGCTTTCAGCCTTTGTGGTTTAAAATTTGGGATGATTTGTGACCATTTGTTTTAGGCTTGAATTTGTTTCTTCAAGTCCCTTTACAGTATGATAGCATGTAGATTTTGTTGACGCGTTATTGCACTCTCCTTTCACAGATTAATGGATTATCTCGAAGAAACCCTGGTTTGATGTCATTGAGGAGCGTCGATCTTTCTCCAGCTAGTTGGATGGCAGTAGCCTGGTCTCTTTCTATCCTTTCCCTCTCTTTCACAAATAAATGCACACACGATAAGCAGTTTATAACCAAATAAAAGAAAGAAAAAAAAAGTTTATGCAAAATTAATGTAACTTCGATTGAATCTCTCTCTTTTCTTAACCTTTTGTACATTAGTTAATTAGCATTGGCACCTCTTTGAATATAGTCTGGTGATTATTTTTGTGCTCAACTTATTATAAAAGCTATATCGTTTCTGATTATTGACAGAGGATTATTGTTTGATATCGATAATATCAGGTACCCAATTTATCACATTCCCATGGGAAGGACCATAAAGGACTTGTCCACATGCTTCCTTACTTACCACACTCTATCCTCTTCTTTCCAAGGTGCACTTTCAGTTTATTTCTGTCAGCTTTTGTTAAAATCCCTTTCTTTCATTGGTTAAAATAATCATAATGATAAGAGGAATGTTAGAAAACTATTTTGTGTAAAAAAGAGAAGAGAGAGAGAGAGAGAGAGAGAGAGAGAGAGAATTGCTTGCTTCCAAGACCAAGATATATGTGCTTGTTTTGCTGATATTTGTTCTCGGTGCAGATATGGACCCCGAAGATGACATTGAGAATGCCGAAAGGAAGCGAAAGGAAGGGGAGGGCATCTCCCTTCGACCTTTTGGTTTGGCCACTTACAAGATGCAAGGAAATGTGTGGGTCTCGGGCAATTGTGGACGGGACCAAGATAGGCTAGTATCGCTTTTAAGCGTGGCAGATTCGTGGCTAAAGCAACTTAGGGTCCAACACCATGACTTCAACTACTTCACGGGGATTCGACGTGGCTAGACATAATTACTTGCAGTATTTTTCTCTGAGAACCCTGTGGAAGTGACTGATCCCTAATTATCAAGAAATAGAAAAAAAAGAAAACCTCTTTTCGGGTTTTTAGAATTTTGGTTTGTGCGTGGGAGATGTAGATCCTTGAGCTTGTGAGAATTGTGTTTGGCACGTGTGTTGTCTAAACCCATTTAACGGTCCATTCTGAGGCCAGCCTTACAGGATTTCAGCAGAGGGTATGGAGTTGAGTTTACCCTTATTTTTGCTATGTTTAAGCCTGTTTGTGGGCTTTATTGTAAAGAAATGGGTGAGGTCTGACAGGTGCAAAAGTAAGGCTCTTAAACTTTTGAAACTTTTTTGGTATTGTATGACATGTTCTCTTGACCATATGATAGCGCCAATTGAGATGAGCAAATTGCCGCCACAACTTCACAGTTTCCTTGCCACATATAATTGTTCGGTTCCTGTAGCGAATATGCAATCTGGACTATTTGTATCTTTTTCCCCACCCCACCCCCGCAAAAAAAAAAAAAAAAAAAATCAAGTATGAGAGAAAAATGTTGACTTTGAGACCTTGGACTCTTGTGTGATTTTTAGTACTTTACATTGCATGTTACTATGTGACGACAGGCAGAGGAAGTAGTGGGAGTTCCTTGCTAGTCAAAAACATGAAGAGAACTGGTTGTGTGTCCAAAGTCCAAAGGTCTTCTGATCAAATGCCCCAAGTTTTACTTTTTTCAGTATCAATTACTGTCAACAAACTCCAGTCTACGACTTCCTTTTCATGGGTTGGGGGCCGGGGCCTGATACCGGTCTCGCTGTATTCCACTCCATTACTCTGTTATTGACTTCCTGCCTGTTGCCATTCCAAAACCATCTACAAACTTTTTACACAACACTTGGGCTACTGATACTACTCAGATATATCCTGATTTCAGGATAATTGGGACTAAATTAAATTAAATAAAATTGCCTTAACATTTTAGATGACTTGACTTGAAGGTTAGGCTGGTGTAGATTGCAATATTTGACTAAATTCTGTCTCTCTCTCGTACTCAACCTCAAAGCCATAGACAATGTTGAACGTGTCAAACTCTACAAGGCAAGTAAAAGCACCGACTGGATGACAGGCTTATTATAGCTTTTGTTTTCATCAGGGCACGTTAATTGGCTTCCCAACCACACAGAATTGCCACTAATGGCATGTTTCGTGCTCTTCTTTAAACGCTTTTTCTTCCAGCGTCTAGACATGAACCGGATTGATTTGAATCGTTGTGATATTTTGGATTTGGAATTGTAGAGATTCATTCTATTGCCTGTCTCAATTGAGCTCACACGTCTCGTTTTGAGACCGCTTTTGCGCACATAAAATAATTGAGTAATTTACACTGACAATAGACTTCAATCCATGGTATTGAATTAACGGTTTGAATGGATTAATTGATCTAAATCAATTGAATTTAATCAAATTGATTCGATTAATTTGATTTTGATAATTATCGATTAAATAAATTAATTTAATCGATTAATTAGATTGATTTTTTATTTTGAAAATTAATAATATAATCGATTAAATTAATTAATATTTTTTATTTATATTTTTAAGAATGAAAAATATGACATTAATGACAAAATTATAATGTTAGTTTATTGGGTGAAACTTATTGCAAAATTATTTTTCAAAATTGTTGATAAAAAATATAGTAAAAAATTCAATCCGAACCGAAAGTTATGTCGTTTTGATTATTTTTTATTATTCAAAATAGATCAATCGCTTCAATTATTTTTTAAAAAAATCAATTTTTAATTTTTAAAATCCAATTGATCAAACCACCGATTTTTCGTTCCTGCACCGAACTCCCAATGCACTGCACTAATATAAATACACTATGGTTTCAAATTAAAATGTATTTTCGGCCAAAAGTTGATTGAAGACAATCAATCTAGAAGACATTGTCACGAAAAGATGGGGTTTAGCATTTGTTGATTCCAGATTTGCTCATGGCCTTCTAACATTAAAGTCAGCTAAATTTCCGTGTCTTCTTATGTTGACATGGAAAATGTATAGAATACTAGTTTGTAATAATAACCAGTCGCCGTGGCCACCTTAGAGAAAGAATCGACTTCACTAACTTTTTGAAAATAAACAATATTGAAACGACTCTATAAAGAATAAATGTTTTATCCTATCTTATTTGAGGCTATGACATGTATATTTATATTATAAGAAAGTACAAAAATATTTATATATAATTAAATGTATAAATATTGATAACATATTCTAATACGTCCCCTCAAACAATTGGGAAGAACACTATAAAAATTTATTCTTAAATAGATAAAAAAAACTTGAGGAAGAAAGTCCATTGATAAATATACCCGGTAGTTGTGATTGAGAATGAATAAAAAGGACTTGAAGAAAATGCTTGCAAACAAGGTTTTGAACAAAGTGATAAGAGGTCTTTATATGTTTTGTGTGAGCATGAAAGATTGGATTGGCAGCAAGTTGAGTAGCACATATATTGTCAGAATATACAAAACAGGTAGTGCAAGAGGAAATTCAACCTCATTCAATATATAAGAAATCCAAAGTGTATTCTGAGAAGCTATAGAAAGAACCATATACTCTACTTTAGTACTAGATTGAGCAACAAAAACTTGCCTTTTAGTACACCAGAAAGCAAGATTGAAACCTAAGAAAACACAATGACCTATTGTAAAATGTTTAGGGTCTGGACAACCAACCCAATCAGCATCAACATAGCATACCAGATTTGGTGTAGTGTAAGGAAATAATCGAATACCTCAATTGATAGTTCTTTTAAGATATCTTAAGATTCGTTTTACAACCTAAAAGTGAATATCAATAGGCATATGCATAAATCGATATACTTATTGCACAGTATAAGTAATGTCAAGTCTAATAAAGGTAAGATATTGCAAAGCTCCAACAATTGTACAATATTGTGATAGGTCTAAAAGTAAAGTTCCATCATATAGAGAAAGCTTCTTACTAGCAGTTACTGAAGTAGAAGTAGGTTTGCAGTTTTTCATACCCAAACGTGAAAGTAGAAACAACACATATTTTGTTTATGTCAACAACCAATGTTTAGGTGTACGATGTGCCTTTATTCCAAAAAAATAATGAAGATTATCAAGATCTTTCATTGCAAATTATGAAAAAAGTTGTGAAATAAATGAATGAATAACACTTAATGAAGAGCTAGTGAGAATGATATTATCCACATAAAGTACAAGTAATATCATGTCAGATGAGGAATGCCATATGAACATAGAAGGATTTGTTTGACTACTTTTGAAATCAAAAACATGAAGAGCAAAACTAAATCTCTAAAACTAAACTCTTAGAGCTTGACATGATGAGGATGATTAGGGTCTACAAACCCTGGTGGTTGTGCCATATAAACTTCTTCATGCAACTTGCCATGCAAAAATACATTTTTGACATCTAATTGCTTGATGGACCATCCTCTACTAACAGCAATAAAAAGAAGAATTCGAATAGTGGTGACCTTAACAACAGGGCCAAAGGTGGAGTCATAGTCAATACTTTTTAGTTATGTGAAGCCTTTAACCACTAATCTTGTTTTATACTGTTCAATGGTACCATCAGTTTGCTTTTCGATTTTATAGATCCAACTACTACCAACAACATTCATGGATGAATTATATTGCACTAATGACCAAGTATTATTTTGCATCAAAGCAGAATATTCATCACTCATAGTTGAAATCTATTTTTCATCTTGACATGCTTCTTTGAAGGATCTTAACTCAAGAGATGGATAATTTGTGGCATGTAAAGAGTATGGTACTTTGGGCCTTCAAGTACTATCTCAACTTTGTGTAACCATAGGATGTATGGTTTTAGAACTAGAAGAAGTGGAAAGCACAGATGATAGTTGAGCAGAAGGTGTCAACACAATTGTATCAAGTTAGAAATAGTTGTATTTGGGATTGAAGCATTTGGTAATGGTTCTGACACAATCATAGTCAAAGGTATAGGTAGAGATACCTCAGAACTAACCTTAAGAGATGTAAAAGAGTTAATGGGATGAGAAAGAATCCTAGGAGCTTTAGAACCAGAACATTTTACAAAAAAAAAGCTATTTTCATCAAAAACAACATGCTATGAGATATAAACCTAACCATTAGAGGGGTCTAACAATGATATCTTTTATGGACTGAACTATACCCTAAGAAGACACAGTGAGTGAATTTTAGGGAAAACTTATCTTTCTGATAAGGAACTAAATGAGGATAACAAGCACATCCAAAACTCTCAAATGATTGTAATCTTACACAAAGTTAAATAACACCTCAAAAGGAGAATGATTACCCAAAACTAATATAGGAAGCCAATTGATAAAAGAAACAACTTTAGAAAATGCCTCAAGCCAAAAAGATCATGGTAAGGAAGCTTGAAACAATGAGTCAGGCCCATTGCCTCAATATGTCTATATTTTCGTTCTGCTAAACCATTTGGTTCATGGATATGTGGATAAAAAATTTGAAAAAAAATACCATGGTGATCAAGAAGATTTTTAAAATCACCATTAACAAGCTCATTAGCTCCATCACATTGAAAAAATTTGATCTTGTTGCCAAATTGATTTTTAACCATAGTTTTAAAATTCTTAAAACAAATAACACTATTAGAATGACACTTCAATGGATAAAACCAAGTTTAATGACTGAAATCATCTAAAAAATAATATAATAACTAAAACCAGTAACAGTAGTAGTGGGTGATGGCCCCTAAAGATCACAATGAATTAATTCAAGAATATTAGAAGTTATCCTAGTAGATAAACCAAAAGGCAAACATTACCTTTTCCTGCTTGACAAGCTGCACAAGTTATAAAATGAAGAATCCTTAAGACAAATAAACTTATTAGATTTTAACTATGTTGTAATCTTACTAGCTGGATGTCCAAGTTGTCAATGCCTAGTTATTCTAAAAATTAAAGAAGAACTATCATTGAACAAAGCTTGTTGGTCATATTGCCTCACACCAACGAATCGCTCCACATCTCTTGCAAAAATCACATAAAGGTTGCATTTAATTGGTCCATCCAAAAGTAACTTTCCCATGTGAAGATCTTTAATAAAAAAACACCAAGGAAACAAATAGAAACTATAATTATTATCTCTAGTTAGCTTAGCAATATACAATAAATTTTCCTTTAAAGTGGGAACAAATAGAATATTTTTCAATGCTAATTTTGTAGAACCAAGACATATAGTAGAATCACCAATAGGAATGATGTCTAGAGAATTACCATCACCAATAAAAACACTTTCATTGCCAGCATAAGAAGTGGACTAATATATCAATGATAGATTAGAAGTCATATGACTATTGGCACTTAAATCTACCAGCCAGTAGGTACCATTGTCATTGTCCATTAGAGCATTAAGTGGAGTATCATTTGAAACAGCAATAGAAAGATGAAGACTAGTAAAA